TTAAATTTAGATACGTTTCATTTTTCTGCTTTTTTCTTTCCTTTTTAGTACTGTAATCAACTCTATGTACACCGCAATTAACATACAATATTTTAAGGAAATTGTTCGTATTTAACTCTGCAATATAAATCTCTACAATAAAAACATCAAGATTATTCTCTCTTTCTCTCTCATTACTTTCTTATTTTTAATGTGTTACATGAGTTTTATTTTAATCAATTGTTTTTATACATTAATCAAAATTAAATAAAAAATACTGTATATATGTATATATACACGTATCTATGTATATATGTACAATGTATATATAATATGTGCATAAATATAATACATATAATATATCTTTTTGCTTATTTTAGCTTCTTTTTCCTCGTATAATTTCACAATATTCAAATACATAAAACATTTATAACATACTAAAAGAAAAAAAAAATTGTATGTACAATTATGTAAAGCAACTTGGCAATCTCTTTATGTTAAAAGTGTCCATGACCTAACATAATATAATATGTTATAAAAAGTTACTGTCTATGCAATAGTTAATGACATACCTATTTATCCTAAATGCAATTTAAAAATTGTGCCCGACTGAGCAATTTCAGGCTGCGTTAAAATATTTTATCAGTTAACATATTTTATACTATTCCTAACAATAAGAATTAAAGCTTTATCACGTGAATTCTTAGCGCGTTGTCGCTCTGTTATTCATGTGTCTGTTACATTGTTAGATCGGACACATGTACATTCCGCCGGTGTGTGCAATAATAATTCGAGACGTCGTCGTCTTCATAACCGTAAGCGCAGCCCGCACGTAGGCGTGCGTAACCATATACTTGGGCCTTTTACATAAAGGCACGTGCGAGTACACGTATATCTCCCTAAAAATAGAAATTTGAGTAAGATATTATTATTAGACGATGAGTGTGTGGCCGGCGCGGCTTCTTACCACGGCACTCACTACGGTGTCGGTACCTCGTTATACGAAAAGGCGAGAGATCGCGATCCCCTCGTGTACTACGACTCTTACACTACTCTCGGCTACTTTCGTCGAAATGAGGAATCCCGCGGTTAAAACGAGGGTGCTCGGGAACGCGGAAAGCACCCGTTATTCAAGGAATTGTAGGCCGATTGAAGATTCCTAAGCATGGTGAATTACGAAAGATACTTGCATTGTCCGATGCTTGTGGAATTAAATTTTGGAGAGTGCATCGATCACTCTTAACTTTTTGACAATTATCTTAATTGAGAATTTTTTTTGAGAAAAGATTAAGTTTATATATATTTGTATTAACCATACAGTGCAATTTGTAGCAGTTAACTCGAAAAAATTAAAAAAAGAAATTTCGTATTTGTATTAGAAAATAGAAAATAGAGGAAATAAATATAAAATATATTATATACGTTAAAAATATATAAAATGTAATAGTATAAAATAAAAAAATAACATTTCGTTCTCTTTTATTGCAACGTAAATAAATAAATTTAATAAAAAATAAAATGTAAACTAATGTAGGCTCAAATTAACAATAATAAAATAATGCTAGGAGCCAAGCAAGGTCTCAATGTCGAGAGAAATAAAAAATAAGTTTATTATCATAAACTTTTTTATTTTTTATTTCTCGGTATTAAGACTTTACTGATCAGCTCATAATACTATTTGATTATTGTTAATCAAAAACGCTATTTTATAAACTCTTTTTTATAAAAAGTTTGCAACATCTATACAAATGATTGTCCATCTATTTCGTAAAATTCGATTGATTTAAAATTAATACTTCTTAAAAATAAATTTATAAAATTGAAACTATTCATAGAAAAAAATCAAGCATGTGGGAGTCGTTCACACGACAGCTTTGCATATTTTTGCTATCTTTCATTAACTGTGGATACCCTTCGGAATTCTTCGCATCTTCAATGTATTTTTACTTTTCGACACGATCGTAATTCTTGTTGGGTGGAATTTTCCGTCATGAGTCTTTGAAAATTTATATTTTCTAAACTAGCTTATGTAAATGTTCAAACGTGTATTTTAATATAGACAATATACCTATAGGATATGATACATTCTATTTCAAAAGTTATATTTTTAATTTTTATAACATTTATAGTAAGAAAGGCGTTTATCAATTACAAGAAAAAAGGACTTAAAGAAGATAATGTTTTTCGCAATAAACTTTTTATAGTATTTGTTTAGGAGCATTAATATCATTAAAATGTTTATTGATTTAATATGTAATATTTAAATTCTAATTTAAAATTGCGTTTTGAGACCGAAAATTAAATGGGTGTGTATAGTCTACAGAACTAGATATATATATAAAGTCACATCAAATTATTATTAAATATTAAAATTAATAATGCACAAAGTATTGAAATTCTACATTAAAAAAAATTTAAATATATTAGAATTTTTTTGATGTGATACTAAATTTATCTAGTTAGGTTAGCATAACTTTTTAGTAAAAAAATCTAGTAAATATAATTAAAAGTTTTATTGATTCAACTGAAATTACTAACCAAATCTTCAGTCGAGTATATTTATATAAAATATTCTAGCTAAAATATTGATTCTAATTATAATAAATAGAAATTCTACTTGATTTCATAAAAATGTATTCTATCTTATTGGAGAATAATTAAAACATTTTTCTCTCAACGTCATAATATTTATCTTAATATATCCTTCATTTTAGAAAAAAGTATAGTTAAACAAAAAGAATGTCGTTATTATTTACCAATATATATGTTTTTGGTATGACGTATTCGGATTTATTATTCCAGTACTTTAAATTATTTTATTAATAAAAATGTACATACATTTGCTTGATATATTCCTTATTATTTGGTATTTTGATTGAAAACAATTTTTTACTATATATATATATATATATATATATATATATATATGTTC